TATGTCTCTTTGAGAACATTTTGAGGGGACATACAGTATTTAAAATTTAAAACAAGAGATACATCTTTATTCAAGGGCTAGTGGGAGTTTAGAATGAGCTACCAAGCCATGTTTGTTAAAGTGGATACCATGGAGTCTTCCTCTATATGAGATCCCCTATCCTCAGCTACTGTACAAGGAACCAATTGACCTAAGTTGACTCCTTTTTAACCTTTCTTATTTTCGTCTCTTTATAAATGCAAAGGAAAATCTAATTATTTAGTTTAGACCCATTTGTTGAAGGAGCAAAGTAAATGTTAATTCCACACTGTGAAGAAAAAAAGAAGAAATACTGTACCATGTTTCAGCTGCTTAGCCTACTTCACATGTGAGCTTCACACTTCACACAGTATATTTATTAAACATTTGTTGATATTCTAGGTGCTTCTTTATTGCCTGTGTGGTTTAGAATTTAAACACCAGCTTTTTTGACACAAAAACAAAATTATCACTGCTTTAATCAGCAGAACATAAACTACTGTGAATCCAATTATAGTACGCATTTAGCTGTAATGTCAATAAGTGCACGGAGGCATGAAAGAAATCAGAAAAATAAGTAAAAAGGTTACATAAAAAACAGTCCCCAGCAGAAATAAAGAAATGCCCGGGGAACACATTTTAATTATTTTAAAAACACTACAGACTTTAGAAATTGGAAAAACACAAATAGTCCTAAATACAGCCTGGAACAGTGTTTGTGTTACAAAACGCCACATTATAAACTGTGTATGTTCTTGAGTGCTTAAGTGCACTCTCAGGGAAGATGTATTCTTTCTTGTCCTCACATGTCATTAACGAAATGCAATATATCCACCTTGGGGAAGGGGAGATCTTTCCATCACTTGGTCTTTGAGACCTTGAGGAGGAGGAGGTTGTACACTAGCTGTGGCTCTCAGGTGCGCGGATACAAAGCTCTCTGCAGACTCTGGAGTTCAACTCTAGGGTCTCCAGTCTCTGTAGTTCACAGCCTGGAGGCTTCATGACTTATATTCCGTACCACAGATTTTTCAGTTTAGCTACCAGGTGTATTCCTGTTAACTCTTACATTAAATGCTTTTAGCCCTGTGATAAAACAGAATGTGTCTGTTAATTAACATACAGCAGTGTGTAGTCCAAAGTTAACTGTGGATAATTTCACTATTAGAGCAGTGCTGGGATATCAATCGAAAGTGTGTCCTTATAAATACTAGTCAGCAGCATTACCAACTTGTAGCCTGGTTTTGTCAGATCTCAGAAACTAAACAGGACTTGTCCTGGTTTATCCCAGGAAACCATATTGCTGCTGTAAGTAGTGTTGCAGGAGCAATTGCTGGCACTCTGGCTTCCTGACAAAAACATCTAGTCCATTGCCCACTGATGACTGGAAACACTGCGCTTTAGGACACACTCTCCTTTGGATGAGATTTTAAAATTTGATCTCGACTAGTTGGGCATTAAAGATGTCATGGCACTGTTCCTAAGGGTAGAGATGTTAGCTCCAGTGTCCTACCTCAGTCTTGCTCAATCTACTCTGTGTAAACCCCCCCTT